AGCATTAAAGGAAAGTGTTGCTAGTTGTGATGGAGTCATTCCTCCAGTCACTGAAGCTATTGCTAATGGAAAGAAGATGCTAGAGCAGATAGCAACACGTAAAGAAGAAGTAAGGCAGGAAATCAAGGAAACGTTTGAAGAGCTTAAAGCTGCTTTAGATAAGAGATGCAATGATCTACTAATGGAGACAGAAGAGATTGCTAGTGCTAAGAGGAATTCTGTCGAGAAGCAGTTGGACGGGTTTCGTAAACTGGTAAAACAGGTTTCTCATGGTCATCGTATTGCATCATCAGTGAGTGAGCGTACTGATCCAGGTGAAGTTCTGAGTGTTAAGAAGCTAATCACCAATCAACTAGAGGAATGCATTGAAGAGTATAAGAAACTACCTCTAGAAATAGAAGAAATTGAAGTGATTATAGCACGTCTGGGTACACCTGCTTTAAGTAAAGAAATCAGTAAGTTTGGAAGTGTCTTAGTAGATATAGATGCATACTCCATTGAGAGTGGGTTAGCTATTCCACTGGCAACAGTAAAGAAAGAAAGGAAATTCAAAGTGGCTCTACCAGCAGGCATTGATAAAGCAGCAAGCTATTTGAAGGCTTCCTTTATCAAAATTGATGGCAGTAAAGAGGAGGGTAGAGTTGTTATAGTTAACGATAACAACACAGCCATTGTATCATGCACACCTCAAAGTATTGGTGGATATGAACTATCAGTGACTATAAGAGGTCACCATATTAAAGGTAGTCCTTATCAACTGTCAGTAAAAGCACCAAGAGACTATACCACACTAACTAACCAGAGATCCTTTAATGTGGAGAATTATACAGGTGGTGTTGCTGTTCATACTAATGGTGAAGTATTTGCTAGTAGTGATGGGTTTGTTCAGGTATTTAGTGAGGATGGTACTGCAGTAAGAATGATTGGATCTAAAGGTTATGGTAATGGACTGTTTGAATGTCCTTTTGGTTTATTGCTGGTAGGAGACAGGCTCTATGTGTCTGATGCTAATCTTAATCGTGTGCAGTATTTCTCAGCTACTACTGGTCAGTATATTGGTCAGTTTGGTAGTAGTGGTAATGGAAATGGACAATTCTCTAGTCCTCATGGTATGTCTACTGATGGTAAAGGCAATATATTAGTAGCTGACTATGGCAACAGTAGAGTACAAGTGTTTAAAGAAGATGGTACATTTGTACAAGTCATACAATGTGATGGTGCTGCAACTGATGTAGCAATTGATAATGAAGGAAAGATATACGTTACATTTTACAATAATCCAAATAATGTTCAAGTTTTCTCTCCTGATGGTAAACATCTTCTTCATACATACAATAATCCTCATGTTGGCTCTAGTCGTCTTCAAGGTGTTGCTATTGATGATGATGGACATATCCTAGTATCTACTTTCGAGGATATAAGCAAGTCTTGTGTTTATGCATTGAGTCCTGATGGGAAACAAGTCGAATTAATCTCAGGATTAAGGAATCCACATGGTATAGCACTGGATAAGGATGGATATATTTATGTTGCTGAATATAGCAAAAGACGTATAATGAAATATTAACGTAATCGTTCATTGTATTATAATTAATACAATTAATTAAGTTATTTTATAAAATGATGTTTTGTCACTCCCTATCTCTTTTCCCTTCCATTTTTCTTTCACACTTTCTCTCTCCTCTTTACTTTAAGTGACCATTAATTATTATTGTTATTAATAGATTAATTTGATTCAAAATTTAGAAAATAAAGAAAAAGTAGAAAATCTCAAAATATCATAATCATCATCATTATATACTAGTGCATACACATGTTCCTAGTGTACACTATAATACATTATACATATGTTTTATACATCATAGTTAGATCACTAGGTGAATCAGTACCTGATAATAAACTGGGTCTACTCTCTCTTCCATTTCTATTTGAATTTAAAATAGTTGTTTCTAAATAATCACATAAATATGCAACTGCTAATGGCTGACGTCTTGACACAATATTAACCATTGTTGCTGGTACTCCTCCCATATCAACCTATTCAACATACATCATGTTTGATTCCACCCACAACCACACCCACCTGTACAAGATACGTGACTTGTGTCAGTAGTTTTTCTTTATAGCGATAAGGTTCAATGACCCAC